ACGTTTTATTATTTATTTATTTTTACTAATTTTTAATGCTGTTATTAAAATTGATGAAAAATTAAGACAATTTCGTCAAGAATGGGTTCTGAAGATAATTAATTAATTATTAAAAAAAATATTTGTTTTTTTTCCTTTTATTATTTTTAATTCTCTTTCTCAGTTTTAATTTTGTCGTTAGAATTAATAAAAATTGAGGGGTCATTCCCTCGTCAATTGCTTAGTGTGAAAGGGACGCGTCGGGGCCTACTACCATGTCTTCGTACCGCAGCCGGCCGCTTCGGGAACAACCTCGGAGCAGACGAAAATGACAGGTCCTAGGCGCGGCAGGCGCGACCGTTCCTCTTGTTGATTTCAAGGGTCAGTTTTAATAGTTGATTGAGGGAAATTTTAGGGATCTTCTTCCGACCACTAATTTTTCCCAATGTCTTTGATAAAAAACCCGGTCGATCCCTCTCTTAGGCACTTACCCAAGGTCCAGTCCTTCTTATTTCGGGTGGCCGACTGGATCGCGGCTGCCTGACAAACAAGCCCAGACCTCTTCTCGAAGCCCTCGTCGAGCCCGCTCCGTCTCGATCAAACGAGTCGTATAAGATTTAGAGTGACCACATGTGCGCGCCCTTTATGTCTGCGCTTATCTGTCTTGTGCTTAGGTTTACCGGGGACCCTAGGACTAAGAGGGTGTTTCTTTCCTTTCTCATGTCGCGGTCGTTTGGGTTTAAATATACAGTTGTTTTTCAGTTTCTTTCTCCGTTGGAGTGACAATGCTGCAAATACTCCACCTCATCTAATGCGAACTCTTCGTTTAGGTCTGCGTAGTACAAAGAGTCATTTCCTTTCCTTTCCTAGTGTCAAGCCCTTCACTTTCCTGTTCTCTACCCTCTTCCTCTTCTTTGAACTCTCACCTGCCTCGAACCGTCTCGACTGTCCCTCATCTACCACCTTGGCTTTTCCCTTCCCCTTAGGGTCTGACAGTGTTACCGCAGGAGTAGGGGTTTCCCTTGTCCTAAACAACTTCAGTCTAGCTCCTGTCACAGAATCCTTCCACTTACTACCATCTAACTCAACAATCATATATGCTCCCTTAGCTAACCGAGCGCACCGAGTACACGATAGGGCCTCATCCATCTGTTCACCAACTTCCCTGACCATGTCCTTTCTTGTGCTACATCGTAAACAAATACCATATCACCCACACCTATCGTCTCCTTCCAATCGATTGGTTGCGGTCATGAGATCATCTTCTAGTCCGTAGGCTATCTGTCTTGTCCTGACCGCCAGAAACTCCTCTCATGACATATTGTCCGCCCAGTCAACTGTAGTCCAACTGTCTGCATGGAACTCTATGGGAAAAGGGCAGTGTCTCCCAAACCATAGAGTGTAAGACGGGTATCCCGTGCTAGCTCGGACTGTAACATTATCCGCCCATATCGCATATCGAAATATTTCGGCCAGTCACTAGCGTTATCTCTACACCACTTGGATAGTGAGGCTATCAAGGACTGATGGCCCGACTATACAGGTGCATTGGATTGAGGATGGTAAGCGGTGGCTATCGATTCTCTAACTCCTGCTTTCTTGAACACATTCTGCACTTCATCCGCTAGAAACTCTGCTCCCCTATCCATCACAATCCTACCAACACACCCGTATCTAGACAGGTACTCCAGAACAAAGTTATTGACCTCTTTGGCCGCCTTTGCTCTGATGAGCTTAGCGTCAATAAATCTAGTGAAGTCATCTCTGATATTCACAACATATTTCATATTCCCTACGCCCTTTGGCATCTTCACTAGATCAATATGTACTTTCTCACCCGGTCTAGTAGGATAGGACAGATGAAGCGGCTCCTTGTGCCTTACAAGGGATCTCTTCTGGCAGTCTTCACAAGTCACACAATACTGTTCGACCTCCTTGTACTGACCTTCCACCAGTATAATCGGCGAACCTTCTCATATGTTCCTTTGACTCCTCTATGTCCACCGATCACTCCGTCGTGAAGTTCTGCTATTACCCCTTGTTTCTCCGACCGTATGGGTATGCGAAATAAATAGCCAGATCTAAGGCAGTATTGAGTTGCCTGTCTCGGATCTCTTAATCCGAACTCTCCTCTCCTGAAAGATGCAATCCGATCGTCCGGTACTTACCTTCATAAAGGTTGATTAGGAATCGATCGGTCCGTCTTGGCTTGGTCACGGTCAGCGCCGCTGCAACTATTGGTCGCTCCGCCTCTATCGGTATTTGTGAAAGTCCATCGGCTACCGCATTTTTCGTGTCCTAGATCCTTTCAACAGTATAGTCGTAGAGTCGAATCTTGATCAACCGTCGCACGATAGTGGGGTCGGTCAGACTGAAGTCCTTCTGCAAAATTGACGCCACAGCGGTAGGATCTACACATAGGACGAATTGTCTCTCGTATATGTAGTAACAACGATTTCGTCAAAACGGACATTTTATATTTTTTGAACAAAATTGAAATTGTCATTTTTGAGATGATTGAAGTGCAAAAAGCATTACAAATGGGCGTTTTGGTGTGAGGGGTAAGGGGTAAGGTATAAGGGGTAAGGTGTAAGGGGTAAGGTGTAAGGGGTAAGGTGTAAGGTGTAAGGTGTATGGGGTAAGGTGTAAGGTGTAAGGTGTAAGGTACCATGCAAGGGGCAAGTGACACAGTGCACCGATGAATAATTAACACCTTATATACATTGTTTTTTGTCAAGTGCCATCTCGTGCCAACCACGTTCGCCCCCTTCGCAATCATACTACATAATATCACGTACACACTACTCACGAGCCACTGTGTCCAATGCCATCCGACGATGAATCGCTGGTATGTCATCTGCGGTGAAACAGAAAGGCGGAAGTTGGCCCCGTGCCAAAAGTGACGCGTACGTGAGTAAAAAGAACCCACATTCGTTCGTGTCATATTGCTTTGGAATGCCCTCTACATTCCATATG